AATGTGTTTCTATTTTTTACAGCATTTTTGAGTATTATAACTAATTCACAAGCTCCCTCTGCTGGGCTTCCAGCATAGGAGACTAATGGCAAAGCTCCTGTTATCATAGAATCATAGATTATTTGTAGACTGACCCATTTTTTTCAGGTTATTTTTGACAGTTTCTACAGCATCAGAAAAAGTGTATGATCAAATGCATGTAAATGGCTTTTTAGAAGTGTGACGGAGAGAGGTTTGATGTTAGATGTGTATTCAAATTTTTTATACGTGTAGAAGGCGGCTTTTTCCACAATAATGTAAGTGTAGCTGTTACCTCCTAAAGTACTGATGCACCTATAAAAAGATAAAGATACTTAGCATTCAGTAATGCCTTCTGTTACTTACATACAGGAAAGAGCTCTAAGAAAATAAATACAGATCTTTTAAAAGAATTAAAAGCTTACAGTCCTCAAATATACTCAATACAGTATGTAGTTTTATGTAGCAGTGGTTTTCAAAAGGCAAATCATGAGCCAAGGGGCTTGTAGCAAGCATTCAGAGGAATGATGAAGTGCTGAAAATGTTACTGTAATCAGAAGCAAAGAAGAGCTAGTCCTGCTTCTTTCTGCCTAATCCTCAAGGTCAAGATTTCTGTCTACGGTTTTTGAAACACATATCTAGGGCCTAGCATTGTCATAACCAATATATTATTAAATCTGTCTTAGTAGATTAAAAGGAGTTGTGAAATAATTTACTTCCAATTAAATGATCTCAGGTTGAGAAAGACTGCTAACAACAAAAAAGGATGATGTTCTGTGATTGCTGTAGACTTGGCACTTCCTTGCTGACTTAACAAGGTGTCCTGGTTTTGGCTGGGATAGAGTTAATTTCCTTCCTAGTAGCTGGTACAGTGCTGTTTTGGATTTAGGATGACAATAATGTTGATAACACACCGATGTTTTAGTTGTTGCTAAGCAGTGCTTACACTAGGCAAGGACTTTCCAGCTTCCCAGGCTCTACCAACTGAGAAGGCTGGAGGTGCACAAGAAGCTGGGAGGGGGCACAGGCAGGACAGCTGACCCAAACTGGCCCCAGGGATTGACATCATGTTCAGTAATATAAACTGGGGGAAGCTGGCGGGGGGGGGCTGCTGCTCGGGGACTGCCTGGGCATCGGTTGGCGGGTGGTGAGCAATTGCACTGTGCATCACTTGCTTTGTATATTCTTTTATTATTATTATTATTATTATTACCATTATTGTTTTTATTATTATTTTATTCCAATTATTAAACTGTTTTTATCTCAACCCACGAGTTTTCTCACTTTTCCCCTTCCAATTCTCTCCCCCATCCCACCGGGGGCCGGGGGGAGTGAGCGAGCGGCTGTGTGGTGCTCAGTTGCTGGCTGAGGTTAAACCACAACACAGGGATTTACTGAATAAAATACCTGCCTTAAATAATTCACAAATTTGTAGAGTGCCTTAATGGGAGAAGGCATATTGTTTGCAGTGGCACAAGAGAAAAATGGAGATACTTTAGAAACAATCACAGTGGCTTTTTTTACTGTAAGTAGGGCTCCTAGGCACAGGCGGTAGTACAAATACTAAGTATTATAGTGCTGCTTAAGCGTTGTGCTTAAAGTATAGGGTATATGGGAACACAGCTGTCACCAGTGTGAGTGGAACAATTACTTAACAGCACACAGCATCACTGGACAATGATTTAAAACAGAAAATAAAGAACTCTACCGACCAATTGATACAGAAATTGCAGTGGAAATGTGGAATGCATGTATTCTATACTTCGGTCTAGCAAGGAGACTAAAATGAACACTTCTAGTGTGATAGGATAGGTGTGGTGTCTTTAAAAATACAAAAAGAGTTAGCTGAAATACTAAACCACCAGCAATATATCTCTTAGTGTCTTTTGGCTGAGTACTGACATGATAAAGAACAATTTTACCTACTGTGTGGCCAGCTCATATTAAATGACATTCAAGAAGTTTCTCAAAAAATGTAGCTATCTCAAGCATGAAATTTTTTTCTAGGTAGCGTATTCTCATATTGGCTTTAGTCTTCCTGAAAGCATCTGACAGCTTTCACCAGAGGACGTGATATCAATATGCAATTTATCCTTTCAAAGCCTTTGGGATGATCAGTCTATTTTTTTGCCATCCCTAATTAAACATACTGCTTCTGTAATTCCCAGGGGCAAGGAGGCATTGCAACTACACTGAAATGAAAAGGAACTTTGTAGAACTACGGCTACACCATCTGTGATTATGATTAATGTATTCTATGATTGTTGTTTTGGTCATAAGTTTTTAGCTGTTTTATTAAAGATATTGTGAGGAAGCATACAGAGACTAGCCACAGATTTTATTTCTTGGCAAGGTGGAGGAAATCTGAGGAGGTTTCAACACAAACTCGGTTCAAATAAAATGTAGCAAGCTGATGGAGATCTTAAATGTGATCTCTGATCATTCAGCCTTTGGAAGGCCACTAATAATGATGATAAGTGAGGGTCTCTGTTCCAGCCAACCATTTCCTAGAATAAGGATCAAATAAAATCCTTCATATTTAACTGTTTTGGAAAACAGGCAGCAGCCCTACAATGACTGTGGATTGAGACACTTGGCAAGAGATACTTGAGTCAGCACAAAAATTTTCTTATTTAGCTATTAGTTAGGACACATCTCCTACCTGCCTTAAGCATACAGGTCAGTCCAAGTGGCCAGAGAGACAGTTGCTTTCAAGATGTACAGGTTATCTTCTTTTCCATTTTCTTTGGTAATGTGGAATTGGGTCAAGATGGGTTGATTTCTATCATCCATTCTAATCATGATTTTAAATAATCATTTTTCATCTGGCTTTGCAAGTGGGCTTTTTTTTCATTCTGAAAAAGAGGGGATATTCATTAGCATATTTCATTATGCCAGCCAAAAGGGTACACTATCTATACACTTAAGTAATCATAGTGCTTAAGTGTTTGACTTTTTACACTTACTTTGTGTTAAAAAATGGTGAACAATGCATTTCTTGCTAGCTGGTACTTCTTTATGCAGCATTGTGCAAGGCTGGATTTGGGTAGAAGTTTAAATCCATTTAAAATACACAATCAGCATTTTAAAATAGTCATTAATTAAATTTAAAAATTAAATACACCGAACATGAAAATATGCTTAGCAAAACATGGTTTATATTGAAAGCCAGTTGATTTAGTAAGTAAAGGAACCATTACATACAGAAAATTAACTGATTATGATTTTTCTAATCAGCATGCCTTTGCCTTCCGGAATTACAACTAGGAGATCTTATCCTTCACATTTATTTTTAAAGGGTTACCTTACCAATCCTTTTACAAAGTGTAGGATTTGGAGGACTAGGTCCCAAACTGCAAGACAGTAAAATGAGAGCTCTGGAGAGAATGCAGTGTGTCTCACCGTGCCTCTGATCTCCTTGTTTGCTTAGGATGTAAACCGTTTCTTTAAATTCAGTGAAGCTAAAACAATTCATTGAAAAATGACTGGAAAGGAGTGAAGCCTGCAGATGTTAACAGCTTATTTACTTCTGCAGTAACATTAAAGAACACTAATCAAGAACAGAAGCAGGTTGTTCTCCAGGTTGTACAAATATCATAGTCATTTGGAGCAGCTGTAATAAAATGCCTTGTTGTCAGGGAGCAAGGTAAGATAGACAAATGAGGTTTTTCAGCCATCAGTTTTCAGTCAAGTTCTAAGTGACATTAATTAGCCATAGTATCTTTTACATGTCAAATGAGAGAATATAGTTGATAACAGACGTTGCCTCCATACTTCATGCTAACAGTATTTTTTAAACTTGAAGAAGTAATTGTAAATCCTATGATAATACAAATTATGGCAAAACCAAATGTGTTCAGATACATTTTAAAGACATTATCTTGATATTCCAGTTAGTTTTAGGATTACTATTTATCTTGTCAAGGCTATTTCTACAGGCTTTTTCTTTTTTCTGCCTCATTTTGCCTTTTTTCGTTCCCAGTTCTCTTAAGTTGAAATATTTTTTCGCAAAGTACAGCTGCCATACAGGCATTCCCCTAAAGCCAAAACACTACTTCAGCTAAATTATTCTAATGACCTAGGTATTGATCAGTAATGTACAGATGTGGCTGACAGGGAGGAGATTGCTGATGGTTGCAGTGAATTGCATATCATTAAAGCTGTAGTTAAAACTTGTAAAACTGATTCCTCGTGGAATGCTTTAGGTCAGTAACTTGGAAAAGTTCATGTCTGGTGAAATATATAATTTGTCAATCTTACTTTTGACACCACTAAGAGTAAGGCATTAGTTTCTTTTTAGGACTGCATTAAAGGCAGTTCATGATGATAAAGTTCCATAAACATAGCTAGTCTCTCTTCATAGAAACCTGTCTTGCACTTCATTTTCCTTAGCGTTTTCTTGAAGTAAGAAGGCCTCACTCTTCTACTAAGATGTTGCTGAACCCACATATGTAGTATTAATTTTCAGTAAAATTTAGTAACCTCTTCCTTGCTTCCTCTTTTTTATATTGTCTGAGAAAAATCTGTCTAGCTCACTATATCCCAATAAAGCCTGTGACATTTACTTCTATCGGTCTGTTTTCCTTTGTCTTCTCCTAATGTCTCTTCCTCCAGTCTGGAGGCTGTTGTTCTGCAGCTTGCCTGCTGCTTGTTGTCAGCTTGCATCAGACTGATGCATCTCTGGGAAGGAAAGGCAGGAGCTCTTAGTGAGCCTCTTTTCACCTCATCTGTGCAGCTAAAGATTTGACAATCACTTCCCTGAGATGGGATGAAACTGTGTTTTTGAGAAACGTGTAAATTTACTGTTTTATGTAAGGAACTCTTGATAAGGATGTACATTACAGCATGCTCATAAGATTAAAGGCAGTACTTTGTCTTGTGCACCAGCAAAAAAGCAGAGTCCTGAAAAACGTCTGAAGAAGAAAATCATTATAATAGACTTGATGTTTGTTCTGATGTTTCTGTTTAGGTGCTGACCCCAGCACAAATAAAATCAATTTGCCTGGCCATACTAGAATCAGGAAAGCAGTACGCAGTGAAGAAGAGGAAACCATTCCCACTCATGTATTCCTACTATGGAACGGAGTATCTTGGTGAGTAAAACACACCAACTGTTTTGAAAGTGATGCTGTGTGTGGATGCTGAGCCAGTACACGCTTCAGAAATAAAATATATAAAACCTATAGTGTGGGATTTCTCCTGACTGAGATGGGACCATCCAACCTCCTAAAACTGCGAAGTGGGACTGAAGAGCTGGAGGGAAGGACTGATGCTGCCTAGTGCTGGGGAACGCAAGAGGTGCCTCTGCTGCACCAGGAGAGCGCAGGCAGCAGCTTCATTCCCTCTTCTCCTTTCTGCCCTGGTAAATCTGCCCTTGCCAGATGGAGGCAGTGAGAGGTGTGGTGCCTGTGCCTATGTGGAGTAGTCTACCGGAGAGAGCTGTCACGGGATGTTATTTTTTAGCTGTTGTTGCCATGCAAGGACTTGCAGAGCGTTTTTTGGCCGTAGCAGTGCAACTCAAGCATATGGTCAGCTCCTACCCATCGCAAGCAGCTTAGCTGGAGCTCATCTGAAGCAGTGGTGAAAGGTCATTGAGCAGGTCCCTCAAGGGGACAATGTGTCCTCAAGGCACAACGTCACACTGCAGAAAGTGTGAGATTGGTTTGCAGATGTTAGTGAGTTCTCTGGCAGGGGAGCAGAGGGAGAAGTCACTGAGTGGTGCTGCTCCACAGACCCTGGCAGGTACAGACAATTCTTGCGCCAAAATTCAGGTTTTAGCTGACTGACACTGTCAGTCAGTAACTGGGAATACCATTTATGGTCCAGTTTCAATTTTGGTTCAACAAAGACTTCAGAATAATTGTCCAGATTCAGTAGTGTGTCAAGAAGAATAACATCTTGAAACAGTATTCAGTTTAGGTTCAGTTTAACTTCATGCACTGAGCTTCAGTCATATCGAAAGTGAGAGCAGAAAAAATTCATATATATTTTTGCATAGCTAAGGGAACTGGAAATGACAAAAGTAGTAACAAATCATAGTGTCATGCACCTAGAAAGCTTTTATTCCAAGCACTATTGTAATATCCGTAAAGAAGATGAAAAAGCCATGCACTTGAGAAGGAAATCAGTCCCAAGGGAAAGTTGCTGTGAGATGGAGGTAGGACCTAAACCTACCCTCTAATTTGACCGTTTCTGTTCTTTATAGGTGCAGCACATGGGCTTTCATCAATCCTTCAGATGTTGCTTTCCTATTATGAGTACCTGCAGCCAGCAGATCAGGAGCTTGTGTGGCAGAGCGTTGATTTTCTTATGGACCAAGAACAGAACAGCAACTGGCCTCCTGAGCTGGGAGAGACAATTGAGCGGGAGAATGAGCTTGTACACTGGTGTCATGGAGCTCCAGGTTCTTTTCCCATTGATGCTATCAATAGCCAGATGCTGATCACATTGTTTTTCCACGTTAGGTGATTCCATGTAGAAGATAATCTCAGGTTAAATTTGACCAATTTTGACATTTTATGAGATGCAAGCGAACTATTTAGCTTTTTCTTCCAGTTAAGAGTGTTTTATTTATTGCTGAAGCAGCTGGCAGGATAGGCATATTTTCTGCCTTAAAAGCATAGGTGATCACAGCTGAAAGAACTCTGGTGATCCTGGGCTGTATGTTTTCCACTCTTGCTCCCTTTCGTGACAAGACCTCAAAGAATGGTACAGCTGTGTCAAAGGACAGCATATGGCTGGACAGAGAAATAGTACACGAAAGAACACAGATACAGAGACATCTGTGAGTTTTGGGGAGGCCTTCAGAATAGCTTTCTCTCCCCCTCATCAGAATCAAAGTTTAAGCTGCACTTGTTTCATGGATAATGCATAAATTTGACCAAAGTATTCTCATGTGAAGGGGAGTTTGTACTAGCAAGGGGCATTTTTTCTGAAAGTCACCCATATAAAACTGCTTTTCAGAGAGGAAGAGAATCAGTCCTTAGTTTGGGTTCATGAGGTAAGGCTGATGTCTGTCAGTTCAGAATCTAATCCTATACATCAGCAATTTTGGCAAGCAAACCTGTATATTGAAATTGCTTTTTTACCCCCAGGCAGAATTTTATTGCTAACTAGTCATATTGGCTTGGTAGCATGAACCTAGAAGGCTACAGAAAAACTTACTTTTATTAAAGAATGTCCATGAGCATTGATGCATTGCTTTTAAAGGTGTTCTATTTAAATTACAAAGAGTACATTATAATTAACATCCCTTAAATGTGCTTTCTGCTGATGCATTATCTTTTTGTTGGTATGACTAAGGAACAAGCTTCTTGCTCTCGCACTGTAATGAAGTGAAGTGAAAACAGCTTTTGCTTACCAACCTTTTTTATTTTTAAGAGGAAAAAGTTACTTCTGCAGCATGGCTGGCCTAGTGATGAAACCTGCAGGGAAGATGCCCTCTTTGTTTCAGTATCTTGAGAGTGGCCTTTGACTTGGTTTTAACTGTTAGTGGAGACATATGCAGTGAGACTCAACCAAAGTGACAAAATCCCAAAGGGCATAAAGAAGTTACTTTAGGAGACATTGAGACATGTAAATTCATTAATTGCTATTGTTCTTCCCCGGAAAACCCTGTATCCCATCACTGTTCTTGGGTAATAACGCACATGTAGTTTACAAGAACACTTTTCAGCTACTTCAGTGTACATTATATTCAGACCACAAGTGAGCTATTCGAAACATTTCCTTAGGTGCTTGATTTGGTTATGTGTTATATGCATTCTTTTAAGGTTACCGTGAACTGAGCTGTGCAGTGCTCTGTTGAAGATTATGATTAATTTATTTGACTCCCCTCTAAAAATAAGCCAAATAGCTGCTGCTTTTTTTTTAACAGAAGTTAGTATGCATAACTGTTTATAACTATAATAAAGCAGCATGGGCCCCACTGAAAAAAAAAAAAAGCAAGTTTCTTTTTCTCATTCAGTAAAAAAATGTATCTGTTGCCAATGTAAGAAATTATCTTGCTCATCCTTGTGTTTCTGTCAGTGTAAATAGGTGAGGTGAATGGGGATTTGAAACCAACAGAAGACAGTACTAAACAGTTCACTGTTTTAAAGGCAAAAATGTGACTACTGTTTTAAATTGATGAAAGACCAGGAATGTTAGAGTAAACCCCGAAATTCAGTAATGCATTGAAGAGATTGAAAGTGGTGTTGTCACAGGGAGTGGATAAGTACATCTTACCGTATGCTTTTTAGCATACCAGATACTCTCCCCTCCATATGTAGCATGTAGATATGTTACGTTGACGTGTAGAGCGTGAGACTGCAGTCTTTTAGTGTATTAATCTTTGTTTTCTTCTGTGTTCTGTGAAACCCTTGGCCTACTTATTACAAAGGACAATCTCACTGCTGTTTTCCTAGGCATCGCATATCTGTTTGCCAAAGCTTACTTGGTTTCCAAGAAGCCTCAGTATCTGGACACTTGCATCCGCTGTGGAGAGCTAACTTGGCAGAAAGGCCTGTTGAAGAAGGGACCTGGAATATGCCATGGAGTGGCTGGTAGTGCTTATGTGTTCCTGCTGCTGTATAGGCTCACTGGAAACTCAAAATACATTTACAGGGCACAAAGGTTAGCATTCCTACCTTTCTGGATTCAGAGTAATACCGGAAAGTTTCAAGAACATTTATAAAGCTGCTCAGAGCCTGTGATCACCACCCTCTCATGTAACCTGGGTGTTTAAGCCTCAGGTGCAATTCTGCCTGTGAGTTGTGGGGCAGGCGCACTCTGCGGGGAGCCCTGCAGTCCTGCTTCCAGGCTGCCTGCGGTGGGAGAAGCATCGGCTTCTCCTGGGCTCCCTCCCTCCCTGCCCACGAGCCTGCGCTCCTTCGGAGGGAACCGAGGTGGATGGGGGGGAGCGGCGCACACCCGGGTCTCATCCTGACATGAGTTCAGAACAGCCAAGTTGCGTACCCAAGTCCAGGAGCAGAGTAAAACGTGCTGCTGTTCGTTACATTGATTTGTTCTGATTTTCAGAGCATTTAACGCTATCCCTTACTACTGGACATGGAAAATAAGTACAGGACCTGCTTTGCTGTTATTTTACAGGGTTTTTTAATTTATCATTCCCAGCTTTAGCCAGTTTGACATTGTGCTATTCGGCTTAGCTAGTGGGGTTAATTCCATTTTGTCCTGATGCAAGCAAGTATATCCCACTGAAAATTCTGTCACAGTGCTGCAATTATCTTCAATTTTATTTCTGTAATTTACTATACAAGTTTAAAAAGATAATACTCAATGTTTGTTACTGTTTTCCTTACAGCATAGAATAATGAGGGGAAGTGGTATAGAAATTAGGGTGACTTATTTTCAGCTGTTTGCTTTGAAGCGAGAACATTTTATTTGTGTAGTTATTTCAGCGTTACAGAATTTGTTGCATCGATGTGAAA